TGTTGTGGGGTTTTTTTTTTGGTTTTTTTTTTAGCCATGATGCCAACATGGACATAACTCTAATTTGGGCAGCTGGGGGGTGTTACTTTTGCACAAGGGACATCCTTTAGGGGAACAGGAGATGGTCCCTGTCCCATGGTGGCTCCTAAGGACACCTGGGCAAGGACTGGGAAGGTGCTGGTGGGAGGTCAAAGCTGCAATAAAAGCTTTTCTAAGGGTTTGAAGAGTTTGGGTGAGCCTGTGACAGTGTTTGTTGGTTGCTGGTGAAGATATTTCCAGAGGGTTTCCCCTGTTTTTTCTCAGGTCAGGCTTCTCCAATGCACCAACCTGCTCTGGAGGGCTTTGTAGCTTGGAAAAGAAGGATTTGCTTCTAGTGACAGCATAGAATTTATTTTGGAGAGATCTGGTGTTAAATCCCCTTTTCAGGGTATACATTTAATGTAATCGTCAAATTAAATCATTAATAATTTCTTCCGCAAATTAAATATAATCAAAGAATAGTTTTGTTTTCTTATCTTCTTTGAGACTTCCAGAACAATTATCTGGAGGCATCCAAAACATCCAAGAGAGGATGGAAGTTCTGATGAAGATTCAGTGAGAGACCTGTGCCATTCTGGAGCAATATTTGGAGCCTGCTGAGGTACCTGGAAACCTCTCAAAAGGCAAGAGGCTCTTCTGTGTGATCACCTGAAATGAGTTCCCAAAAGTCTCTCAGAAGACAAAATGGTCTCAAGATGTGCCCTGGGAAGGTTTAGGTTGGATATTTAGGATAAATTCTTCATGGAAAGGGTGGTCAGGCATTGGAACAGGGAAGTGGTGCAGTCACCATCCCTGGAGGGATTTTGAAGATTCAGGAATGTGGAATTTAAGGACGTGATTTAGGGGTGAACCTGGTGATGGTTCTGGGTTGATTTTTGGACTTGATAAAGTGTTTTCCAGCTTTAAGGGTTCCATGATTCCAAAGTGGTGGCCCTGCCCATGAGGATGCTGCCTGCAGGTAAGAATCAGGTGGGAATTAAAACCCTTCCAAGTTTTCCAAGGCTTGCAAGGCTGGGCTGTCTCAAACCATCGATGGATTAACTCTGAGGATTATTTCCAATAGGGCTGATTCCCTGAATTCAAGGAGCAGGAGATTGCTCTGCACCTTTTCCCCTACACTTGCAAAATTCAGCTTAATTCCAGAGCAGCTGGATTGGTTATTTCATCACAAAAGAGTCATGACAATGCATAATCATGGACAGCAGGGTATTTACAAAGGCATAAAAAATGAGACCTTTTCCAGTGAATAATAGAGGGCAGGGAAATTATTCTGCCTTTCTTTAGATATGTACTTAAAAGAATCAGCTTTATCCCAGCTCCTTCAGCCTTCATTTTTTCAGGGGAAAATCAGGGTTTTGCTCAGATTTCTTGAATACAAAACAGTTTCTAACACTTGCATATTGATGCCTGCAGCATTGCAAATTTAATAGATGCACCTCATTTGCATAAATCATTTAAGAGCACAGCTCCATGGGGGAACAGAGAAGAATTAGCCTCAATATTTGATCCAAATCCTAATGAGGCCAATGGAGAGACTCACCAGGACCCTCCCACACCATTCCTGCTCCAACTGGGAAGCCCAGTGGCTGCTGGGGTTGGATTGGGGTGGCAAAGGTGCAATTTTTATTCCCACCTTTGACCTCTGGGTAACCTTTAACTCTCTGTGCTGTTTCTTTATGGCTCCAATTCCTCTGCCTGATAAAGAACTGTTAATGAAATTCTTGGAAAATTATTTAGGGCTGGTTCCCGACACATCAGATTTGCTAATTTATCCTAAAACTGGGGTCTTCAAAATGAATGCTTAACTCCTGCTGGCTGCAGTGAGGTGCTGATAAAACCCCAAACTATTTCAGGCAGAGGTATTTCAGTTGCCTCATTCCAAATTAACTTTGATGCCTGCAGGACACAGTAATTTGCCTGAAATAGAAACTGGCTCCCAATTCCATGGAGAATGTCTTTGTAAAGGCACTTGTTCTGCTGATGGCAACGTGTTCAACCTGCAAGACAAACACAGATCTGGATTTGATCTCTGAGATCTTTTCCAACCTTAGAAATTCTGTGGTTCTCTGTGGGCTTCCAATTAGCTCCCATCCTTGCCCAGCCTGGAAAATTTTCCATGCTGGGAAACTGCTTGCTGGTTTGGGGTTCTTGTGAACACCCAGGAAGGAATCTGGGAAGTGTCTCTGTGGGAAAAGCTCTCATGAGGTTAAAAGCTTGATCCCAGGATAAAAGCCTGATGCCAGTCTAAAATGTTGATCCCAGTCTAAAACCTGCAGGCAGCAACCTGATTGCCCTGGTGTGATTTAACTGCCAGGCTTGGAGCTTGACAGTTGGATGGAAGTTGATTAATTATTAAAAATATTGGAGTAAAAAAAAATATCAAGGGAGGTTTTAGACTTTTTTTCTTTTTTTTCTTTTAGCAAGCAATTTTCTGGGGTGTCTCCTGCTGAGAGCTCACTCAGGAAAAAATTAATGTCCTTAATGCAATGAATAAAGCCATGAATAGAGCAAGAAATGTCACTGCTAGATTTGATATCTGTATTATCTTCCAGGGAATAACAGCAAAAAGGAGAAAATTTGCTCCAGGGGCTTTGGACTAGATCCTCACTCCTGAGGAGGAAAATCTTCTTGTGCCTCAGAAACCATCCCCTTGGGCCAGGCTTAAGGTCACTGCCAGAGTCTAGAGCTGTGACTAACACTGGTCTAGTGGTTTCTGGATAAATTCATGGATTTCTGAAGTGCTCTGTTAAACAACAAAGGATTTTCCAGCACAGAAGGAACACAGAGAGCCTTCAGGGAGATCTTTCTCATTTCCTGTGCCACTGGTGTGAGTGATGTCTCCATTTGTGCCAGGCTTTCCCCACCTCCCCCTGAGTTCAGGACAAGCCTTTCCATTTATTTCTCTGACTGTTGGATTAAGAAGCCCTAATTGTGCTGACACAACCTTTAAGGCATATACAGGACAGAAGTGTAGTTTCATGAAAACCATTTGCTGGAGTTACAAGTAACTGGGTGGGGCCAGTTTAATGCTGCTTCATTACTGATTAACACCTAAACCACCCCCAAAAAATCTCATTTATAGATCCATTCATAGAAAACAGAGTATTTGTCTGGAGTGGAGCCACTCAACTAACTGGTTTTAAAGCACAGGAGAAAATCAACCTTTCCAGGCTCTTTCCCCAGTATTCCACTTTGACCATCAGAGTAAAAAATCCCATTTCTTCCCCTTTGCCAAAAATCGTTTTGGCTGTGAAAGGCTGAGAACAGGGGCAGTTCCAGGAAACACTGCAGAGATCCCAAATGATTCCTGTTCTGGACCACTCCCTGGGTATGGATCTATTGCTCACCCTTGAGTGGAGGTAAGAAACTGGCCTCACAAATCTGCCTTAAATTTAAGCCTACAAATATTCCCCAAACATTTTAATAAATATAAAAATATTGCTACTTACACTACACTCACCTCATTTTCCTGTTTTCCTCACAAACTGAACAATTTGGGCTAGATATGCCTCTCCATCCTATTTTTCCTGTTGGGACTGGTTTTTATAAGGAATATGTTTCTGGAATGGTTGAGTAAGTTCCAATGGCAGGGACACTTTTCTTTCCTTAATCTTGCAGTCTGTTTCTTTGAGGGATTCCAGCCCTGCTGCAGAAGAGAGATGGGAACCTGAGAGGTAATTGATGCCCCAGGATGGTGTTTCTGCTGTTTCCATCCCCTTTTTTTTGGATGGGATATTACCCACTGAAGTTGCATTTCAAAAACACTTTTAAAACTGCAAAGCCAAACCTTCACAAGTTGGGCAACACCAGTGGGACTTGGGCAATCCTAAAGAGAAGGAAGAGGGGAAAAAAATACTCTCACATCTGCCTGCTCATGCTGCCCCTGAGGTGAAATCCCAATAAACAAGTTACAAACCAGACCAATTCATTTCCATGGCTTGTCTGCCTTGAGGAGAGACTCACAGAAAAGAGGAATTACAGAGAACTGGAATGAGTCACTGCACTGCCTGCAAGGCTGAAGGGAGCTGGGATCACTGGGCCTGTGAAATATTTGCTGCTAAAAGTAGATAATAGGAATATAAATATCTAAGCATCAATTTAAATATAAACATAAATATGAAATAAGCATACATATAGATAGATTTCTTATAAATAAAACATAGAAATAGAAATATCCTATAAATTCAAAGCTGTACCAGGAGGAGAACATCCACGGTCACCTCATCAATCCTACGTGGAGCAATACATTAATTTTAATGCCCATTTCTGAAAAGTCTGGGGAGAGAGAAAATCAAAATCCATGGAGAGCAGGGGTTGCCCTGAGGTCAGGTTTCTTCCTCATGACTGATTTTGGTGGCACTGCAGACACCCTAAAGCCAGCTCAGGGTTGCTGTTCATGCCATCCTGCTGCCCAAGCAATGTCCTCATGACTTGTAAGGTCTGACAGTGAAAAAGGGAAAAAAATTTGGAATAAACACTAAGGATACAGCTATTGCAGCAGGTGAAACAGGTTTGGGATTCTTCTCTGGTATTGAGGCCTGCTGGAATGGCCCACTCTTATTTTATTAAACTCTGACTTTCCAAAATAAGATGTTCCATCCAATGTTCATCAGGAATGACCTACACCACCTTCTCCCATGAGACACTCCCAGAAATTCTTTGGGAATGTGCTATTTATCCCTGGCACAAGGCACACCAAGGAGTGTTGTAGCAATATCAATGCAGGGATGATCAATTTGAGTGTCTGGAAATGTGGTGAACGTAATTTCAATTGTTCACAGGTCTGTCTGGGTGGTTAAATCCAATCTGTAAACCTGGTGTTATGGTAGCAGGGTCACAGGCCAGTGCCCCAATGTCATTGTGCTCTTTCATGAAGCCACAGACTGGTTTGGGATGGAAAAAAAAACATAAAGATCATCTAATTCCACCCCCCTCCATGGGCAGGGACACTTTCCCCTAACCCAGGATGCCCCAAGTCCAGCCTGGCCCCGGACACTTCCAGGGATCCAGGGGCAGCCACAGCTTCTCTGGGAACCTGTGCCAGAGCCTCCCCACCCTCTCAGGGAACAAATATCCCACCTAAACCTGACCTCCTCAAATTAATTCCATTTCCCCTTGTAAATGTGACAGAAGTCCAGAAAACTATCCTTGGACAAAAAGAGAGTCTTTGCCACAATAGCAGAAGATGTTTTGGAGAAGGAGCTGTAGGACTTGAGTGAAAACTCTCGATTCTCTGTTTATTTCTGCTCCACCCATGCTCAGCTGCTCCTCAGGTTGAATGCAGGGATGAGCAGAACTTCCAGACCAGAAATCACACGGGGCTCTTTGAGGGAGGGCAGGGAATGCAGCCCCTCCTTTTGCACAGAGGGAGACAGGCTGGTACAGAGACGTGGAAAAAGCTCATCTGAACCACATCCAAACCTGCTCCTCGTGCTGTGTCCCCATCATGGCAAAGCACAGAGAAAAAGAGGGATTCGTAGAATTAAAAAGTGATTTATGTTGGAAGAGACCTCAGGGATTGTTCCTGCAGTTAGGAATAGTTGCTTGAGGTATCATTCGTGGGAAAGAAAAAGAAAGATTTTTCTTCATGCTGTGGAAATGGGGAATGGGAGAAGGACAATGGGTTAATATGATGTGATCTCTTTCTCAAGTGCCTCCAACAGCTGCCAGGCCCTCTTCCCTCCTCCTTTTGGGCTCCCTGCCAGTGCACTGCACCTCTTGAGCAAGGAGAGAGCAGCTCCCCTGCATATTAATGTCTTACAGCTCCTACAGGGCCAGGCTGGCTGAGGACACACATCTCACAGCATGTTTTTAATTTCCAGGATGCAGAAAGGGCAACGTGCAGTGCAGCCCTGTGGGACACCCCCGTGGTGAATCCCCCCAGCACAAAGGCTCCAAGCCAGCCTGCAGGGAAGAGCAAAGCTGCAGCACACCCAGAACACACCACAGGATGTGTTTGCTGCTTCTGCCTGGCAAGGAAATGCTCCAGGTGCCATTTCTGCAGCTGAAAAATGACCCATGAGGGCAATGAAAGCTCCTGGTTCTTACCTGGGTCTCACCTGTCAGGGCTGCATCACGGATGTGGCACCTGAGCTGTCACTGCAGGAGCTCAGGTCATGGTGTTTGGTAAATGAATACTTTAGGTAAAAGGTAAAAATTGTCCGAGGTTGTGTACTAAATCAGAGCTTGTTCCCTCCACTTGGGATTTAGCTCCTTCTCTGATTCCAGCTGAGGAGTTCACTCTGGAAAAGCCATGGGCAATTTGGCTGTGCAGTCTGTCCTTGTGCTAAACAGGAGTAAGCTGAGCTCAACCAATAAGCAAATCCTCTTCTGTACCAGAGAATTTCATTTCAGGGTAGAACAGAATTCCTCAGTCCCAAGGCACACACACAGAAGGATTGTGTGCAGTGACTCCAGCATCCCAAAATCCCACCTGAGCATCCTAGACATGGATTCCTAAAACGGTTTGGGTTGGAAAGGACCTGAAGGGTCACTCAGTTCCAACCCTGTGCCCATGGAGGGGGTTGGAATTAGATGGTCTTTAAGGTCTTTTCCAACCCAAACCATTCTGTGACTCTATGAAAAACCACAATGACATTGATACATTGACCTGTGACCCTGCTACTGTAAAATCAGGTTTGCAGGTTGGATTTAACCCCCTAGACAGCCCTGTGAAATTGAAATTATTGTCCACAGAGTGCCAGGGAACATTTCCAGACATTCAAATTGATCACCCTAGTAGTGAAATTGTTATAACCTTGTAACTGTTATTGGTGTTTCTTGGGTTTGTTTTTCTGCTGCTACTGCTGCCTGCATAAAAATGTGGTTACAAAAGTAAAATAAATGAGCCTCATCAGACCCCTGATCAGCTTGAGAAATTTTTCTCACAGTTACACCAAGTAAAACAAAGCTATTTTTGGACAAGAAAAATTCACAGGGAGTGAGTTTGAGAGGCTCCTGAGGCCTTGAAATTCAGTGCAAAACTTAAAGCCTTTAGGTAGCAGTGCAATGCTCTTCCATGGTATGGACCAGACATATTTTTTCTTTAATTTCCCTGTTGGAAGCCTTACAGATGGCTTATCAGGGATGTTTTTTAATCAAAAGAGACAGTTCACAGAGGTCAGCTGCAGGGGTGGCACTAACTGGAGTCTGGCTGAGCTCTGGCAGCTCAAAAGAATATTTTGGCCAACATTTTGGGAAGCTTGGAAGCTCTCAGCAGATTCCTCACTCTTGGTTTTGATCCAGGAAGGGTCATGATGGGGAAGCTTGTCACAAAATATTAACCACAGACCTGTCTGGATGGAGAGGTGGCAGCAGGCAGGGAGATCCCCCTGGTGTGACCCACACATGGAGATGTGGAGATCTCTATCCAAGGCCAAATTCCTCCTCTCCAACATGCTGTGTTAACAGAAAATTCCCCATCCCTGCAAGAGTCCAGAGCCAGGCAGGGCTTGGAGCAACCTGGGATGGTGGGAGGTGTCCCTGCCCATGGCTGGGGGTGAAATGGATGATTTTTAAAGTCCCTTCCAACCCAAACCATTCTGGAATTCTGGGATTCTCAGAGTGAGTCTGTGTGGCCAATGTCATAATTCAGCATATTTTGGTCAATCTTTGTGGTGCTGCAAAGTCCTCCTTGGGAATTTCGTCTTGGCTGCACCCCTAATTAATTCCAACTCTCATCTTGCTCAATTAGCACAAGTCATTCTCTGGATTTTGTGATTTTATGGCAGGATTTCTTGCAACAGAGGCTCTCGTCTGTTTTTCAAGCTCTTCTATCTCTACTTTAATTCATCTTCTAGGCAGACAAAAAAATCACTATTGAATGCTTTAATTTAAACAAAACTTACCCATTTAACCCATTTCAGTGAATGAAAAAGGATGGCTTTGCCTGTCTCCACGTGCTGAGATCATCCCAGTGTCCATGGACCAGAAGGCTTCATTATTAAAAGATGTAAATGAATTAATAAAGAAGCTTTCAAATGCACCTTTGTGACTGTTCTGGGGTAAGTGTGTGTTTCTCAGAACAAGCCAGGTATGACACAGAGCTCAGGAAAATGAAAAACACACAAAGCCAAAGCTCCCCTATAAAAAGCTGCCTGATATGTTTTCACATGAGGTAATATTAACCAAGCTGCCATGACTTAGACAAATGGTCTCATTTGTTCAGATTTTGCACAGAAAACAACACAGGTCTGGCCAGTGAGCAGAAATGCTCCTCTATGATGGTGTCTGAAACAGGGCAAATAAAAACAGGGGGTTTTTTTGCCTCAAACCAGACCCACTCGTGGGTATTTTGGGGATGAATGGAGATCTGTGAATGCCTCTTCAATATCCTTGTTTCTCTGTGGTTTTTGCTTGGCAGACAAATATCAAGCATTCCCAGAAGATGCTGTGAGAAGGTATCCTGGGATAAAGGACATAAAATTGCAGCAAGAGAACAAGGTCAGGGGGATGAGTGAGAACAGGGACGAAAAGAGGTGAAACATGTTTGGCCTTTTTAAACTTTGATTGCAAATTTCCTCTGTGCTTGGAGAGTCTTTTTAATTCTTTTTTACACTGGATTTCAAGCTTAGCTCTACCAGCAGCCCTGAGTCAGCCACTGCTTCCTACCACTGGCTCAAGACTTTTACAGCACTCCTTGGATTTCTGCATGATCTAGAAACTGCTCTAAATCCCACCAGAAACTGAGATTTAGGGAAACTAAATCTCAATTGTCTGACTTCCAGCTGGATTTCGTGGGGGGAGTGCGTGTGAAAATGCTTTTTGAAGCCAGTATGGAAAATGTGACATTTTGCTCCAGAGTCAGAAAGTTTATCTGTAAGGACACAAGTTCTCCTAAGGCACTTCTCCTAGGGCCAGGGAGAATGAGTCTTTCACCCTTCTAGTTAGGGCACTGGTGAGGTTGTTCAGTCAGCTTCTTCCTCAGCAAGATCACCTTTCCCCAGTTCTGCTTCCCTCTGTGACATCCTACAACTCTATGGACAACTTGCAGTTACTGTGATGCATTTTTGGAGCCCAAAGCTAATTTGGAGAAGCATCATCAGCACCATCACAGGCTGCTGTGAGGAAAAGGAGCAGCAGGGAAAAGCAAAAGAGGATTCTGGCCATTTTTATAAATCCAAAGACACTGAGGTGGATGACCCTTTTGCATACCATATTCCTAGATAGTATGAGGAACTGAGCCAGGACAAAAAAAACTCCCAGCAACAAACAAACAAACCCTTCTTCCTGCATGAAGTTCTTGGTGTTTTGATGACTCGTGTTTGCAAGGTCACCCTGTCTGGGAGCCAGTGACATAATGTGCAAAAGTGTTCACATCCTCCTGGAGAGCAAGAAATTGGAAATAAAACGTGGGAAAAATGCAATTCCTGCTCAGCCACTGGAGTGCTTTGATAAAAATAAGCAAAGATATCAGATAAATACATTCCTAAGTTACCAGGGAGGGATGAATACCACATTGAAAATGCAAGTGGTAGTGGATAAACATTCCCCATGATGCCCAGTGGTTACCCATTCCATTGCTGTCAGTTGCCTTTTCCAGACATTCAGAAAATGCAGGAAAACAGTTTTGAACCTTCCTGAAGGAGCTGAAATCAAGCTCTTCATGTCCAGGAAGATGGAGGCAGTGGAGAACGTGGAGAAAAGGAAGAGCTGGGTGAGCATCCTGAAAGTCACAGCTCTGGGCTTCAATTTATTCCATTTCTTCCACAGTGGCAGCTTTATCCAGAGTTTGATGCAAGTTTTTTTTTCTGTTTGGGATCTTGGAATACAGAGTTTTGCCCTTGGACTGTACTGGCTTGCCCAATATATTAAAATACTGATCAATAGATTTTGTACCCGAAGTAAAAAAAGGCTCCTTGTTTTGTAGCACTTACAGGAAAAAAAAAAAAATCAAAATATGCAGCAGTGGGTGAATTGTCCTGGATCCTTTGTTCAAGGAAAGAAATGGGAACTTTGGGTGAGGTTTTCAACTGCCCAAAAACGGGCTTGGAGAGTCGTAGCAGATGCTGTGGGGCTTGAAAAGACAG